AAATAAACCTGTCGGCTCCACAAGGGAGAAAAGCCTTCGTTTTGAGCAGGAGTTTGTTCTAAACAGGAGCCCAAGAGTTGACTTTCTTGTATCAGGATTTATGTTGACCCTTGGTTTTGGGGAGGAGCTGGAAAATGTAGGTTTTCCTGTTGCTTTCAGCCTGATGGAAGAAAATGCTTGTAACGGAGGAGAGGATTGACCTGCCTGGGAAAGGACTTAGACAAGATTTGTTCTCCTGAATTTTTTTTGGTACACACCTGCCCAGCCTCTCTTGAGAGGCTTCTGCATTGCTGGGATGAGGACATCCTTGTGTGTCCATACCACCTGCCTCTCCTCATGCTGGGCTGGACTCTGACTAAAACAATTCATGCATAGCCAGGATAATGACTGTGGGTCACTTTGCCCCTGGGGCAGAGCTGTCACTCCCCTGGGGTTGCTATAGGTGGCAACTCCCTTCCTTCCCTGCAGCAGGGATGGCTGGAGCCTCTGGGCCCAGCAGACACGGCTGAGGCCATGTGGTGACCCGGGTAAGCTTCAGCTGGCAAAATCCCAGGGCTGTTTGTAAGTGCCATTTCAGAGCTCAGCTGTCAGAGCTCGGTTGTGTTCGTCTGTCCTTGCGGAGGAAAGGGAATGATAGCAGGGTCTGTTTGTCCTGCCTAAGCTGCCGCCAACTGCAACAGCCACCACCTCCAACTGTGTCAGGTTGTGTCAGGGGATTGGGGAAAGGTTCTTCCCCCAGAGGCTGCTGGCACTGCCCAGGCTTCCCGGGGAATGGGCACGGCCCCGAGGCTGCCAGAGCTCCAGGGATGCCCAGGCTGGGATGCTGGGGGAGTCTGTGCAGGGCTGGGAGTGGGACTGGGTCCCTTCCAGCTCAGGGCATTCTGTGATTTTATGAACTGGTTTTGCTGTTTCCCTTGCCCAGCCTAGAAAACCCAAACTGACCAAGGTGCAGCAGCCTCTTCCCTCCCCCTCTGCCCATACCTGTTGCAGCAGGTGTGTGACATAGGTGAGACTTGATGACAGAGGCGTTTGCTTGGGACTGGGGCTGAGTGCAGGGTGACCACTGAGCTTGCTCAACATGTGGCTGGATTTTGGAAGCAGGGATGTGCACACACAGCCTGCCCCTGGCTGAGGAGAGGATGTGTGTGCTGTGCTTTCCTCCTGCCCCAGGTGCCACACCAGCTCCCCTGAGGAGGGCAACTCACTGGGTCAGGGGAAAAAACAGTTTGGAGTCTATGGCTGCTCTCCTTAAATCACCTTGGAAGAAGGCAGACGTGCCCAGCTCCTGGCATCTCTATTTTTACTTTGTGCAGAGATGGATATGGCTGAGCTGTCTCCTTTTATTTCCAGCATTTGGCGCGTGCTGCAGCGCGTTGCTAAAGATGTGTCTGGCTGGATGCAGAGCTGCCCGCTTCCCTGAATCCCTGAGGGACTGCAGGGGTCAAGGGCTCTTGCCTTCTGCATGGCTTCATCATTCATTTCTTCTCTTTGCCTCCCCCTTCCACTCCCCTTACAGTTTTTGGACTTTGTTTTTTCCTGTATTTATTCAAATCAGCCTGGGTACACAGGGAGCAGGAGGGAGGGGACTGGGGCCACTGGTAGCACTGGATTCCAGAGGCATTTTTAATGGGTTTCTAATAGCTAGAACTGGCCTATTCTGATGCAGAAAGTATTCTTATTTCCTCTGCCTGCAGCTTGGCAGTTCCAAGATTTCCTTGGAAAGGCTCAGACTTTTCCTTCCTGGCAGGCAGGCTGACAAGCTCTGTGCTCAGGTGGCTCCGTTGCAGCAGCTGTGATGGTGCTGGTTTTGCCAGGTCTGTCCTGACAATGCCGTTTTTAAGTTCCAGCTGCCCCCAGAGCCACATGCCTGAGCTGTGCCTGTCACACATCCCTGTCCCTCCTCCTGCTTGTGGGCAAGAGAGAGCCAGGCAAGTCCCCAGTATCTCCCTCTGCCCATGGGATGCTCATGGAGAGGCTGATTTTATGGTTCACTGTTCCAAAATCTGGTTAGGAGTGAGATGAATGGTTTGATCTGTCGAACCAGGGACTTCTGAAACTTCCCAAATAACCTGGCCCTGTATCTGCTGGTCTTTCCTGCTCTGGGGATGAAACTGGGGGGCTCTCTGGCTGTCCTTCAGCATCACGTCCCCTGCAGGGGTCTGGGGATCTGCTGGCTCCTCCAGGAGCCTGGGGGATGAGGTGGGATATGCAGTCCCTGTGTCCAGCCACACTGTCAGCTGTGGGGCAATAACTCAGAGCTGTTGTCCACCCCGTTTTTCCCCAATGAGGTGTGGGGAGCTCATGCATCTGGAGCAGGCTGGAGAAGATGCTCCATAACAAATCTCTGGCCCCTGAACTGCTCCAAGGCTTGTCCTAAGTGTGGTGACTTGGTGTGCCTGGTGAGGGGACACTGGGAATTTTGGAGAGCATAGAGGGAAGGGGAGAGTGAAATTCCTTCAAACTTTTCAGCCTGAAATGCTGCTTTCTGTTGCTTGGCACTGGAATGGCAAACCCAGGGCGTGTGATGGTCAGGGAATGTGGCTGGAGAGGTCTTGGTGGAGCTGAAGGACAGGAACCCCTCAGAGCAATCCCTCCAGGGACTGTCCCTCCTCTCTAGGCACAGCTGGCTGTGACTGTGCCAGTTTGGAATGCCAGTGGTTAACTGAGAAGCCTTGGAGCTGACATCTCCTGTGTAGAGGGATTTTTGACACGGTCTGACTTCAGCCCTAGTGCTTGACCATGGCAGCAGGGTCCCAAGCACAGGCTCTGAGTGTCAGACTGAGACCCACTGCCTTTGCTTTGTCTGCCGTGGGAAGGGAGCTGGGCCACAGCTCAGTTCCTGAGCATTCCCACCCACCTGCCTCCCTGGAACTGGGAGCCTCCACACTGCAGTGCAGCATCGGGCTGGAATCAGAGCCTGTCAGCCTTCTCTGGGCATTGAACAGATGGTGGTGATCTATAAACTCCTGTGGTGCCTGCTCAGGGGCTGCTTCTCCTGAAGGATGTGAAAGTTCTCCAGTTTTTGGTTGGGCTTTTCTTGCTCACATCTCCTGTGTGAAAATGAGGGAATGGAGTGGGTGAATCTGTGCTTGATTTGAGTGGCTCCATCTGTGTTTTGTGGGCTAATTCAGAGTGGGACAGGCTCGTTGTGAGCCCAGAGATGCAGCAGTATGTCTGAGGTGGGAACATGGCACCAGTGTGCAGAAACACAGGACACCACCCCGCTAAAACCTTTCCTGCTCCTGATGCTGAGGCCCCTCCATGGCTTTGGCTCTGCCATCTGGCAAAAGAGAGTATTGGATGTCACCTGGGGGTGTGTGGAGGGTTCACTGTGATGTGTCTGCTCAGGTGTGCTCTGTGCTGTGGTGGGGGAGTTCCCATCCTAGGCCACGTTATCCTGTTCTTTCCCTGCCTTGGAAGTGCCAAAGCACATCACAGACACAAACCAGGCAGGGATGTGTCAGCCTCGCTGCTGCATTGATGTTTGGTTAATGAGAGTTGGCGTCTGGACCTGCTTATCCTTTGTCCTTGAGTGTAGAACAACACTTGGACTGCAAGAGGCTCTTCATCTCACTGTCAGGATCAGCTGTGAGGGTATGGCAGGAGATCTGCTGGGGAAGGCTCTTCTTCCTTGTGGGATTTCAGACTTTAAGCCCTGAGGAGCTCATTCCACCTGGCTGCATGACCCCCTTGCTGTGACTGGGGTAAGAGCTGCGTGTTTCCCCTGCAGAGAGGGCTGGATTTGGGGTTCTTTCCACCCCGTCTCAAGTCAGTGTGGAAGACACTGTCACATTGGCCAGGCAGGTGCTCTGGAGAGCTGTTTGAGGTGGTTGCAAGCAGCAATAACATGCAGCCCCCAGTTTTTGGGCAGGTGGGTGGGGGTACTGATATCAACAGGGCTGAGAACACTTGTGGAGGGGAGGGGAGAGCCCCTAAGCCAAGGGAATCTGGCCACCTGCTTCCAGCAAGATGCTTCCTGTGGATGCAGCTGGAATACAGGGAAGCAAATAGGTCAAACAGACAAAAAGTCTGTCTAGAGGATCCTTTTTGCCAGCAGAACTATTCACCTGGCAGATGGGGAAGGGAGTTCTGTGGGTTCCAGTAAAGCTCTTGCAAAACCTGATGGGTTTCAGGTGGGAGATGTTCAGGCTGGGACAGCCCTGAAGGCTCTGTTTGTGCCACAGTAGGTCTGCCTGCATCCTCCCTGTTTGGGGGTAGCAATGCAGATCATGTCTTGCTGTGCAGCAAGGCCAGTCTGTCACGTTTGTCTGTCTCTGTGGTCCGGTGTCGACATCAGAATCTAATTTCAGCCTGCTGAGTATTGGCCAAGACTAACTGAAAATATCTGTGGGGAGCTCCTGTGAGAGCCACGTAGCTCTCCTGAGCCACGCTGCAGGCTGAGCTCTTGGGGTGGCTTTCTATAGGCACAAACATAGCTCAAATTACTGTCCTTGCTTTTGGGAGGGTCAGATGGCCCCTCTGATGCTTCCAAACCTTCCTGTGTGGCTTTGCTGAGCCTTGTGCCTCTAACAGAGGAGGAAGCCACTCCCTTAGAACTGATGTCTGGCTGGGAAGTGACGTGTGTATGGATATTTTGGAGGTTCTGGTGCAGGACAAGTGTTAATGGGCAAAGTGCTTTTGCTGCAAGCTAATGAAGCTTAGACTCACCCCAGGAGCTGGGAGCAGGCTCTCATGGACTGGGAATGTCCTCTGAGGGTGACAGGGCTGTGAATTCAAGCAGTAGAGAGCTTGTCCAGGCTGAACTGGGGGGTCCAGCTCTCTGCTGCTTCTTCAAACAGGGCTGTTTGAACCCCTTGTTCAGCTGGTTAATGTGTCTCTGCTCCCAGGGATGCTGAGACACTCTGTGGGATGCCTGGCTCCTTGTGGGGTGGGAGTCTGCTCATCCCTGTCTGGACAGTGGCACCCAAGGCTTCTGCTCTCAGCCAGAGTGTTTTGGGAGGGAGGTTTACCTGCTTCATTTGGGAGAGAGGTTTAGGGTTATGTGTCAGGGAGATGCAATCACTACTGGTAAGGGCTTCCACAGTGCATGGAAACCAGCCTGAGGATTTCAAAGGTGATAATATCTGGGAATAGTACTGGGGTAGCAGGGAGTGCTCAGTTGTGCTGGGAGTGCTGGAAAACATACATTTGGAATGAAAGCATGACCTGATTCCTCTGCTCCATTTTCCCACCCCATGTGTGTTTTCATGAGGCACTGCTCCTGCACAGTACAGTACCTGAAGCAAGTCTGAACCTGAGGTTTTGCTTTCTCCCAGTGCTGACGTGTGTCCTGTCTCTACACAGCCATCAAGGTGAGCTGCCTTGGATCCTGTGGGGTGTCCAACAAGATCAATGACACGGCATGGACTGTGGAGGAGCAGTACTTCAACAGCACCCTGTCCCTGGCAGACAAAGGTATGGTCCACAAAGGCCTGATGCAGATCTGTGGTTCAGAGAAGCTTGCCAGAAATTATCTCCAAGACTTCAGCATCCCCTCGATGTGAAACACCCCTCACAGGCTGCCTTGGCCTATGCACAGAGGATGGGAGACTACAAGAGCTTAGCAGGAGCTGTGCAGGGAAGGATCCTGAGCAGAACTTGGCAGCCACCCTGCAAACACTGCTGGCATCCTCTGGCCCTGGTCTTGCCTGAAGCAGAGCTGTCACAGGGACTGCTCCCTGTCTCAAGGCTCTGTGGGTTCATCTTGTTCTGCTTCCCATGTGTGTTTATAGAGGTCACAAAACACTGATCAAAGGTGGTCAGCAGAAGCCAGTGATTTGTTCTGAAAGGGCTATAGAGGTGTCACTTGTTCTCCAGAAGTGCTGGGAGCATGACAGGACAGCCTAGGACAGCTACCCCTGTTCCCAGTGAGATGGACAGAGATAGCCATGGGGTTCTATTGTCCTGTGGGTAAAGTGACACCAGAAGCCTCTGGGGGATCTGGGCCTGAATGAATGCTGTCTTTCTGCTGTTAAATGGGTCAGCCTTACCACAAATAATTCATGCTGTGCCCTGGCTCCTGTTGAAATCAAGATGTGCCAGTGTTTACCTGCAGAAGGCAGTGGCTGTATCAGGAGCATGGCAAAAGCCCAGGGTAGCAGGAGCTCATCCCTCTGATCCTGTTTTATCTAATAACAGGAAATGGGTAAAACTGAAATGGCAGATTCTGCTAGCTCAGCAATTTTCCAAGCAGAGCTTTTAGCATCGAGGGGAGACTGAGCTCATTGTCTGAGCAACTGGTGAGGGTGCTGCTTGCTCTCAGCCCTCCTTGTGACACTGGTGTGTGTCTGGGCTGGCAGAGCAGAGGGAGCTGGGCTGCTCCTCCATGTCCCTGCCTCTGTCTGTCTGCCTCCTCCAAGGGGCTGCTGGCAGCACAGTGTCCTGGCATAGCTCAGCCCTGCAGTGGCAGGCTGTGCTGGGGGAGCCTTGCCATGGCCTCGTGCAGGCAGAGCCTCAGCACTGACTCAGCCGTGGTGTTTTTAGGCTTTCCAGGAATAGCTCTCAGCTGTCCTGGCCTTTTCTGAGGAGAGCATGAAGGAGCTCCAGACAGATGGGTGTCCCATGTGGGTGTTCCCTGGGTGCCTCCCTGCAGGGCTGACCCAGCTGGGAGGGGAAACTGAGGCAGGCTGGACTGCTGGCTCTTGGGGTACGAGGTCACTGATGGCCATGGCAGGAGTCCAGGGCGAGTTAGGGGAGTTGGAAGCATTTCCAAGCAAGTGCTCCTAAAGGAGCATGAGGCCAGCCCAGCTGCTGGCCCACACTGCCAGCACACAACTCCTTCCCTGGCCAGCACCAGCAGCCACCTGTGACACAGCTCCACCAGCAAAGGTGACTGCAGTGGCACCTGGCATGGTCCTGGCACCTGTGGAGGTGGTGCAGGGAGGCAGGCTCAGCCTGAAGAACAGCCTGCCTTGCCCTGGCCCTTCCCACATCCTGAGCAGAAACTTTAAAAAACACCGATCTGTGCTCTTTGAGGACACGTGGGGGGAAGGGGAGAGGAGGTTTGCAAAACTGCCGAGGCTCAGATTGCTCTTTAAGCCTCCAGGAGTGACTCCACACTTCTCCTCCCACACACCTTTGCATTGAAATAAGTGAGGGGGCAGCTCGTCCTCTGTGGCATCAGCTGCTGCTTGTATTACACTCTGCTTGGGGTTTTTTTCTTAGGGCTGTATATTGCATGAAGAGGGAGGCAGGCCCTGAAATAACCCAGATGGCCACTTTGGCACTTATTTAAGGCACTTTCCTTTCTCTCCCCACCTTGGAGCGGGGTGTGGAGGACCCGGCTGTGCCACTGGAGCAGGTTGGTGACAAGTTCTGCTGCAGAGGACCCCGCTCCCCTCAGGGCTTGTCCCCACTCAAGCAGGGCATCCTCTGTGCTCTGGGAAAGCCTCTCGAGGAGCTGGGCAGGAGCTGGAGGCAGCAGGCAGCCATGAGGAGCAGGGCATTGTGCTCAACCCTTGGCAATCACACACAGGCCAAAGGCTTAATGAACTCGAGCTCTTTACATAAAAGCTGCTGGGAAGTGTGGAGTGTGCCAGCTGCTCCCGAGCCTCTCGCTGCTCTGTTTGTGGAGAGGCTGCTGTGCCACACAGGTCACTCAGCCCACCCAGGGCTCCCAGGGGGGCTCGTTACTCTCCTCCTGGAGAGGAGGCTAAGAGGGTATTTACTTTTCCCACTTGGACTTTGATTGCTCGCTGCTGTTGGTTTTTCCTTTTGCAAAGAAATGCAAGAGGGGTGGGGGCTGCTGGGTTTCTGTTGGTGTCAGCAGGGCAGGGGATCAAGTGTCAGCGAGCACAGAATGGCACCGCTTGTACCCGCAGCTCTCGGACACAGAGATGCTTCTCTTGATCCAATATAATGGAGTGATTCAGCTCTGCAGAGCCTCCTGCTCCTCTCCCCCTCCTGCTGTGGCTCTGCCCTTGTTCAGCCAGAGAGGAGCAGGTCCATCATGTGCCCCACAGGGCTGTCCCTTCCCTGCATCTCCAGCTTCACACACAGCTCTTGCCCTGTGGAAGGGTTGTGCATGCACAGGTAGATTCTGGGGTTCTTTTCATTCCCTCCTTGTACCTGAGTTGAACTCATGCAGGGAGCTGGCTGTAATTTCCAGCTGACCTTTCTTTTGGCAGCTTGTTAGTTAGCTTGAAGGCACTGCAGGGATTTCCTGGCAGCTCCACACGCTTCCTCTGCCGGCAGATTTCTTGCACAAAGAGCTAAAAAGGGGCAGCTGTGCATCACCTCTTCCCTGGGGTGGTTCTCTCCCGGCCTGGCACACCACCCTCATGGCCAGCAGTTGGCACAGGGTAACAATCCTGGCTCCCAGCTGAATTTAAAAATCTTGGTGACCTGACTAAGCAGAACTGTGGGATTTATGCAGCTTGTTCTGTGTGAGCAGGAGGTCTCAGAGCTGTCCAGTGATGCTCCTGGACAGCCCCTGCCCAGGTGAGAGCAGCAGGGCGTCCATGGGCAGTGCTGAGCCACTGAGGATGTGCTGCTGCCAGCTCCTGGCCACACTGTGCTGCTGGGTTCAGGGTCAATAGCTGCAGGTTCAGCCCAGGAACACCACACTGAAGGATCTACAGTTGCCTTGGGTCACAGCTGCTTCCTCAGCACTTCCCAATTTCTTGCCTCAGTAGACCAGTTAATCCTCTGGGGTTTTTTGCAGCACTGCCATTTCCAGATCCTGCTAATTCATTGAGACTGTCTTTGGAAACTGCTGACACAGAGGGTGAATGGAGCCCTCGCCTCAGTGCTGGGTGCTCTGTGTTACAGAGAGGTTTATCTCAGCAGCATTACCTGTGTGGAGTGCTGGAGGTTGTTCCTGCTGTGTTTGTGTGTTTGCAGAGCTGGAGCAGAACTGCTGCCTTGAAAGGGAGTGTGGAGCCTGCTGGGGCTGTGCTCCATCAGTGCCACACGGAGCAGGAGAGCTCTCCTTGGAGATGAACACCGAGGCTTTCCTGGCAGCTTTGGCTGTGCTTGCTGGCAGGTTGCTCTTCTGGCTCTTGGCTGCTGCCTCTGTGTCACCTGTGCCTGCTGATGGCACGAGCAAATGTGTGCATTTGCCCTCCTTTGCTGCAGTTTGTAATCCCCTGTATTAACTTCATTCACCAGAGGCTGAGTCCTGTGCTAAAGCTGCAATGGCTCAGCATCACCTCAAATGCCCTGGCACAGGCTTAATGCTTCCCTTCTGACAGCTCTGGTAGAGCTGAGAGCTAAAGAGCTCTGGCCCCTTGCTCATATCTAATATTCCGTTTTCTGGCTGCAAAAGTGGATGAGGAGAGAGGGCAGGACAGGGGTGAGCAGGGTGCTGCCTGCTGGGACTGCAGGCTGCTCATTTCTGCACCCCAGAGTAGAAAACACAAACCTTCTGCTTTCCTGCTCTCTGCCTGGAGAGCCTTGAGAGGAGAGTAACATCAGCAACACCAGAGTCAGTCTAACTCAGCACCTTTGGAGGAGCTCACCTTCCCCAGGGCCGGTTTTAGGCAGCAGGAAGAGACATCTTGCTACAAGTGATGGCACAGGGAGCAGCAGGCACCAGGTACCTTCCTGTACTCCTTGAATTAGCCAACACAATTAATGCATCACTCGTTAAGTAGCCAGGGACAAATTGCCATATGGTCTGGCCTGCTGTTCCTCTACTAGAAGAACCAAAATATCTGTGTACTCCAAAGGTGCAGCCTGTTCCCAGGCTCCCAGGAGGGAGCAGGGACTGGTGGGGAGGGCCAGGAGCCCCATTTCAGCCACTCCCTGTCTCCTGTGCCTGGGATGCTCTGTCCTTGTTCCTGTGGGCTTGGCTCCTCCTGAGCCCCAGCCCAACCCTGCTCCTGTGCTGGACAGAGGCTGCTGGAGGACATTTCCCAGCCCTTGGCCAGCTGCAGGCAGGGCAGGGTGTTGATCTGGAGGGGTGATGGCTTTGAAGGGCCGGTGATTTCTGTGGCACCAGCCAGGGAGGCTGCACGGCTCAGTCCAGAGCCCAGACACTCTCAGCAGCTGTGGTAAACTCGATCTGGATCATTTAACTGTGTAAATACAGACGTGTGGTCATCTCAGCCCCAGTGGGCATGATGGTGGTGGCAGTTTTACCATGCAGTGTGCTGGTTTGCAGTGAGTGCAGGGAAACCTTTGTTTGGATTGGAAGGGACCATAAAAATCACCTTATTCCATCCCCTGCCAGGAGCAGGGTCCCCTCCCACTATCCCAGGTTGCTCCAAGCCCCATCCAGCCTTGAACATTTCCAGGGATCCAGGGGCAGCCACAGCTCCTATGGGCGCCTGTGCCAGGGTCTCACCACCCTCACAGGGAACAATTCCTTCCCAATATCCCATGTAATCCTGTCCTCTGGGGAATGAGGCTAATGTTGTTGCTGCTCCTGCTATCTGGACTGGAGGTTTTTTTCTAGGCTGTCTGGGGCAGCAGCTTCTTTCCCTCCAGGAATTTTTTGGGAGGAAGTTTCCCAAGGCTACGTGTGGGCGGCCAGTCTGCTGGCTTGACTCCTATCAGGGGGAAAGGCTGCTGCAGGTCTGGCCCCACAGCAGAACCCTGCTAACCCTGCTGCCTCTGCTGCCTGATGACTTTCTCAAGGTATTTTTAGCTGCATGTAAACTTCAGGAAAAGCTTTTTTGCAGCTGAGGACACTGTGGCCTTCATTCAACAGCTCAAGACTGGAGGCAGGGCTCTGTGGCCATGAGCCAGGAGCTGCTGTGATGCCCTTGGTCTGTGTCAACTGTGGCAGGACACAGCTTCAGTCTGGGGTGGCTGGTCTGGGAACTCCTCTCTGGCTGCTAAGAGCAGGAAGGGCCTTTTCCAGAGCTCGTGGGCAGCTTGTTGCAGGCAGGAGCGAGCTGAAGGAGGGATTTGCAGGCTGTTCAGTGGGTCACAGCCAGCAGGTCACTGGGCACTTGGGCCTGGTCAGGACCATCAGGCTGGGCTAGGCTGACCTGTTCTCATGTGGTGCCCTGCCCAGAGCTTGGACTACCTGTGCAGAAACTCCCTCAGTGCCAGCCAGTCTCACAGTGGCTCTGACAGCCAAACCACATCCTCTGTGGGTGATGCTGCCCATGGGTGTTCCTGGGAGAGTTCATGGCCTTGATCAGTGATGCTGGGTGAGTTAGAAACTGTGAAAGTGCTCACAGGGTCACTTCCAGCCTGACTTTATGTCGGTGCACCTGAGCTGGGCAGGACTTGGACAGAAGTGACTTGGTGGATGGTGCTGCCTGTAATGTAGAATAGGGACTTGTACTTGGTGGAGTCTGTGGGCTCATCCTGAGGGTCCTGGAAAGGCTGTGGAATTTCATGCTCCTAGCAGGAGACTTGGAATTACTGCCTGCACCTTCATGTGGCGCTCTGCAGGTCACACAGCTGGGAATTCTCTTGGTGGAAACTCAGTGACTGCCACCCTCTGGAACTCCCACCTCCTTCCCTTCTGCAGGACAGGAACAGGACTTGCTCCCACTCCTTGTCAGGTGGAGAGAGTCCCTATACTGCAGTGCAGAAGCTGCACAGGACAGTCATGTATTCCAGTTATCCATTTGCTTTCTAAAAGTAGGGATAATGGGTATAAGATCAATGTTGAATGGTGCCCATTAAAAGACAGAAAACCCTCGGGGCAGCAAACAGGGGCTGGGGTCACGGAGTCATTCCCATGAATCAGGCTTTATCCTGGACCCAAGCAGTCAAGGCACCTGCTGCACCTCACCTGGCACCTTTCCTGAGCCAGGCTGCCCAAGAGGGAACAGGAGAGGCTGTTCCACACCTGCCTCCCCGCCTGCCCAGCTCTGCAGCTTCAGGCCTGGCTTGGTGCCTCCACCTGGTGACAACGCCGGGTGCTGCATTTTAGCCTACATAGTTCGGATTTGTTGGGGGACGGGAGGGGAATCAGCAGGGAGGTGATGGCAATGAGCAAATCTTGCTCCTCTCTGTGAGGCCCAAGTGTATAAATGGACATCTCTGATGTTGTCCCTTTGCAGGGATCCACGATGAGGAGCGTGTTGGATTATTTATCTCTCTGTCCCTGCACCGCAGGCGGGACATGCTCACTGGGGTGGCTGAGTGATCCAAGAGGCAGAGATCTAGCTTTTCATAGCATGAATGATGCACCAAGTCCTGCCTGGGCTGCTGTGTCAGTGGGGGGATTTACTCTTCTCTTCCCCACCTCCCCCTTCCATGTAATCCACTTAATCCCCTGACGACAGGACTCAATTACTGTCAGCTCTGCAGAGCCAGCGTTGCTAACGGGCAAGCTGCCTCCTCCTGTCTTGAAACAACAAAAGCACCAGCCAGATCTGGGCTTTTGCTACCTCCAGCAATGATCCTACAAAGCAGAACAAACACAGCTCCATTTACTGGGCATCCAGGGCTCCTCTCAGCTCTGCCACTTTAAAAACAAAGCCTCTCATGTATACATGGATTTAACAAATATGGATAAACCTCAGTGGTTTTCTTACTGAAGGCAACTTTAGGAGCTGCTGGATGACACTGTGGGTTCAGTTCAGCTGTCATGCTGCACTGGAGGGAATCTGGGAGTGCTGGAGGGTGGATGGAGCTGGGGAGTTGGGATCTGATGTTTCAGCCATGCACTGGATCTTGGCTCTGCCCTGTGCCCTCGAGGCTGTTGCAGAGCAGTGGTTGAAGAAAACAAGTGCTGAGGTTTTAATGTTGTGGCAATGTTTTCCTGGGCTCCTGTTGTCTCAGCAGCCGGGCTGAGGTGGTGTGTGATTCCCTGGGTGGTGGCCTCTCTCTCCCAGATCACACATTCCAAGGTAACAGCCTCTCAGCCTGTCCCATGTGCTCTTCACTCTTGTTTCCACAGGGGTCCTGACAGCTGGAGAGCACAACTTTCCCTTCCAGTTCCTGCTGCCAGGTAAGATGTAGAAAACTGGCTGAAGGCCCTTCCCTGTAACCCTTAGTTTTGCACATACTGCCAGTTCAGAAACTGGCCTGACTCAGCCTTGTGATCTCTTCTTTCTCTCTCAACTCCAGCTTCTGCTCCTACATCATTTGAAGGCCCTTTTGGCAAAGTCCTGCATCAGGTGAAAGCTGTGATAGACACACCTCGCTTCTCCAAGGACTACAAATGCAACAAGATCTTCTACGTTCTCTGCCCTCTCAACCTGAACGACATCCCTGACATCGAGGTAAGAACGAGGAGGGGCATGGCTGGGAAATGCCAGCACTTGAGCACTTGTCCTGCTGTCTGAGGAGTCACTGAGTGACTGGATAACTCTGACTGCCTGCTCTGACTATGCAAGAGCAGGACAAGGACTTCTCATCTCTTCTGCCTTGCTGTCAGTACCTGCTCCAGGTGATTTCTGACTCTTGTGTGTTGCTTTGAAAGATGTATCTGAATTTTCAGCATGAAGAGAGACCAATAGCTTCAGCTGCTTGGAGACACATGGGTTTGGGGAACTTGCTTTGGAGGGGAAAGAAGGGTTTCCTAATAGGACAGTAGAACTGTGGGGCTGGAGAAGTGAGACCTTTTGTCTGTGGCACTGCCATGTTGCTGGTTCTTTGCATCCTCTTAAATGCAAATATTTCTGCTTGCTTGTTTTGAATCTCTTGAGTGTTTTCCTGGAGGCTCTCTGACTCTCTTGAGCCAACACCTCTGCCTCTGCCTTCCTGCAGCAGCCCAACACCATGTCCATCACCAAGAAGTTCAACTACAAGCTTGTGAAAAGTGGCAACATCATCCTGACAGCCACGTCTGACCTGAAGGGTTACATCGTGGGCCAGGCCATCCAGCTCCGCACAGACATAGAGAACAAGTCCGGCCGGGACACCGGCGCTGTGGTGGCCAGTCTGCTCCAGGTGGGTGTCCAGGGGCACCATTCTCTGCTGCCCCACCCCATGGAGGCCTCTGTGAAACTGGGGCAGCGAGAAGGCCAAGTCTTCAGCTCTGTTCCTCTCTACCTTCCTGGGGAAAGAGGACCTAGAATTTTCTTGCTGAGTCTGTCACACAGCAACGGGTACTCCTGCTCTGGAACACACCTGTTAGGTTTGTGTTTGTGCCTATTTGACAAAGCAGTTGGGTGGGTTTGTGTCCTGGCTGGCATTTGTGGGACACACAGGACCTCCTGCAGCCTCTGTGCAAGCTGATTTTCCTCCTGTCTGTGCAGAAAGTGGCCTATAAATCCAAGCGCTGGATTTACGACCTGAGGACCATCGCCGAGGTAGAAGGCTCGGGGGTGAAAGCCTGGAAACACGCAGAATGGAAGGAGCAGATCCTGGTTCCAGCACTGCCCCAGTCCATTCTGCAGGGCTGCAGCCTCATCCACATCGACTACTACATCCAGGTGAGGTTATCCAGAGTATCCCTGGGCTGGGCTGCGGCTCTGTGCCCCCTCCCAGGCTGAGCAGTGTGGTGGGGCTGGCCCAGGCATCAGGTGCCCCTTCCCACTGCCAAGTATAATGAGGATGCCACGTTTTCCCTCCTCTTCCAGGTTTCCCTCAAGTCTCCAGAGGTTTCTGTCACTCTCCCCATCTACATTGGAAACATTGCTGTGAACAGGCTCCCGCTGAGCCCCTCCCGCTCCATCCAGCACATCCCATCTGTGGTAGTCCCCAGTGCACCCCCAGAGGAAGAGGAGGCTGCCAGTGGCTATCACCCCATGGACAATGTCTCCATCCCCACCAAAAGCCATTCCCAGCAGCAGCCCTTCAGCTACGCCCCAGGACTGAGCTTCCAGGAGATCCGGGCGGACTCGGAGCAGACGGGCTCCCCAAACCACCCCACGCTCTGCCTGTCCACAGGAGCCACTGTCCCCTACTATGCTGAGGGGAATGTGGTGCCTGTCCCCACAGCCAGCTCACTCATCCTGCCCCCGGAGTACAGCACGTGGGGATACCCCTACGGTGAGCAGCGCTCCCGGGATCTGCAGCTGGCAGAAAACAGCTCCTACCAACAGTCTCTGCTAGCTGTGAGCTGTTGGGAATCTGGGGATTGAGTCAGTCTGCTGCAGGCTGCTGTCAGAGGGGATTGTGACATCTCTGCCTGCTTTAGCCTCTGGAGGAGTCCCCCTCTTCCAGCTGTAAAAGCTGGCTGTCCTTCCCACATCCACGCCCATGCCTGCCCTGGGCTCTTCGTGAGAGGATCTCCCTGTTCTTAAAAGAGCTTTCAGCCTCCCACTGATAGAAAAACTTCTTGGCTTGTAGTAAGGCTGGTGGGAGCAGAGCCAGGAAAATGATGTCACAGAAATCTTCTGTCTGACTTGGAGTGGGCCTGCAGCTGGTCTGAAGCTGTGGGGGTGGGAGCTGAGAAAGTGTCCGGGGTGGAACAGCCCAGGGAAATCCCAGCGTGCTGGATTCCTGCAGCCCTGCTGGGGTGGCAGGTTCAGCAGTGTGTGCTGGATTCCTGCTGGGGTGGCAGGTTCAGCAGTGTGTGCTGGATTCCTGCAGCCCTGCTGGGGTGCAGGTTCAGCAGTGTGTGCTGGATTCCTGCAGCCCTGCTGGGTGTTAGCACAGTCCTCCCCAGATCAACCCCTCTGCAGAACACTCCATGTGTTACTTCAGCTCTGGGTTGGGGCACACAGAGCACGGGTGATCTGGAGGTGCTGGAGGACAGGAGGATGCTTGGGAAAGAAGGGGAAGAACAGAACAGGACTGGGAGGTGGTGATTTTAACCTCCATGGACACCAGGGCAGGGATGGGACTGGCTGGCTCAAATCCTACAAACCCCATGTACCTCAGCTGGGCAGGCTGTGGGGCCCTGGCAGGGCGTGTGTGCTGCTGGCTTGCTTCATTCTACACTCAGTTACACAGACTGGGGTGAAGGGAACCTCCCAAACACCCACCATAACCTCTCTCATTCTTCCTTTCCCCCACAGAGGCACCTCCATCCTACGAGCAGAGCTGCAGCAGTGCCAATTCCAGCATCAGCAATGGCAATTAGCCCTCCCCTGCTCCGAGCCCGCCGGCACTGCCCACCCTGGCACCACGGGGCACCCGCCTGTGGCAAAGTCTGGTACAGCACAAGGCGTCTTCTTGTCTCTCTGGCTGCTTTGGGGGTGGGAACTGCCACATCCCAGCCTGGGCTTTTTAAGTCTCTTTGTAGGGAGGGGGTAAAAAACCAAAAAGGGCAGCCAGAGCAGCCTGCATGCTTGTAGGAGAGGTGTGGAAAACTGCAGTGTCTCCTGCTGCTGCACCAAGTGCTGGATGTGCCCTGGGATGGCCTGGGCAGCAGCCTGTTCCAGCACTGTAGTCAACACTAACTGCTTTACTATCAAAGCACCTGCGATGCCTTATCTGAAACGCTCCTGACTTGGCACAGCTCCACTCTAGGGGAAGGCTGGGCTGTGTGGACTTTATCTCCTCTTTTAGGAGCCCTGTGCTCTCCACAAATGGAGCCCTTCCTCCTTGTGCTCAGAGGTCCTAAGGGTAGCAGGAGGTTTCTTGGAGTAAGCAGGTTTGGAAGGTCAGGGACTTTTAAAAAGCCAAAAGCACAAGCCCTCGCTGTACCTGAGCTGTGGGGGGACTCACTGGCAGTGTGAGTGGCCATGGGCACAGTGGGGGCTCGTGGAGGCACTTGCTGATAAGCCCTGCTGAGCTCTGGGGCTGATCCTGGTGTTCCATGGGGTGCCCTCTCCTCCCAGCCCGGAGTTATGTGACCATCAATCACAAAATCTGTCTGATGCTACCTCTGAGTGTGCCCAGGGGCCCTGCCCGTGGGATCCCTTCCCTCTGGGCCCACCCTCCGTGGGGCTCTCCCTGGGAGTGGCTGTCCCTGCCCAGGCAGCCCAGCAGGGCCTGTTGTGTGTCCCCTGAGCCTGAGCAGGGTGTGACAATGGACACAAACCATGTGGGAGCTGCTGCTGCTGTGCCTGGCAGTCGGGGGAACAAGCTGGCTTTTCTTGCAGTTTTTCTTTTGTGCTTTTTTACCCCCCTCACCACATACACACCTTGTTTAGCTTGTTTAGCATTGACTGCCCAAGCTGAGGACACCACAAGCCACGTCCCATGGGTGCCCAGCCAGGCTGGAGTTGTGGCCTCCAGACCTCTGGCACCTCAGAGCTGGGCAGGCAATACCTGACAGACCTTTAGGAGCATTTGCAGCCACTGCCTCCTTGCTCAGCCACCTCTGCACACCCCTCAGGCAGCTGGGACAGGCCCTGCTTTGCACTCTTTCTTTGCAAATGTTCTTTTATTTCATTTTTTTTTTTTAAGCATTGAACTGCTTTAAGGGTAGCATAGCGAAGGTGCCGTTCTGAGCAGTGCTGGCACAACGTGCACCAATGCTGATAGAGTGATTGTCATTGTCCCTGGATATATATAAATATATATATATATATATATATGAGAGGAAGTTGTTTTTAATGATTAAATTCAGAAATCCAAATTTTAATGTTGTATTTAATAAATTATTCTATGAGAAATGCTGTGCTTTTTCATCCATTTCTGATGCTGATCCATGTGCCTGTTCATGCCAAATCCAGGAATGCACCTTGCTGATTTCTTACAAAATGAAGTGAGGTTTTTTTGCTCTCACCAGGAAGGGTGAGAGTGGTGAACTCTGCCAAGGCAGCTCGGGGAAAACAAGCACGGTGTGGCCTGCCCACAGTGCCAGGCTCATAATTCCACGTGGCTGGAGGGAATTTGGCACCACGTGGGCTTGGCTCTGGAGACAGCAGCCACTGCACTGCTGCTCCCCAGGTCCTGAAGCCAGGGTTTGTCCAAGTGGCCCAGGAGCCCAGGGAAGGGAGTGGGAGGAAGGGGAGAGCAGACTCTGCCTTAAGGAGGATGGAGATGGCATAGCCAAGGTCTGGCTGGAAGGGCCCTCTCCTAAAGAGCCATTTGGAATAAACTCATTAAAAGAGGAGGAAGGCTCCTCTCCATGACCCCACCTTGGTGATCCCATGTCTGAAGCATGCAGGTGTTGCCTAAATGTTGTCACCGCAGGTAGCCTGGGCTGGGATCTGTGTCTCAGACACAAAGATCCTTCTCCATTCTCTTCTCAGCTGATGCTTCTGCCCAGCTTCCATGATTCAGACTCTCCTTTTCTGGCTGGTCTGGCCTGCCATGAGCGGAATTCTTCATCCACCAAGGGGTCAAAGGCAGGTACAGCTCTTCCCCAGTGCTCTTCCTCTTCCTCCCACTTGGCTGAACCTGTCTTGCCTAGCTCAGTCTGCAGCTCCCATGGCCTTCCCTGCTGTTGGCTGTACATATCCTTGAACCCAAATCCCTTCCACACATCTGGAAGAATTCCTGTGAGGTGCCAATGCTTCTGGAGCTGCTGTGTTGGGCTGCAGAATCCTGGCCCAGCCAGGCTCTGGGAGAGGCAGACAGGGCTGGGACCAGGACTGGGCTCCCAGCTCCTTCTCCCATCCCTGCTGATGTGTCCAGCCTGTGTTCCTTGGCTGGAAAATGGGATTGCTGTTTGGTTGCTGTGGCCAGAGCCACTGAGCTGTTTTTCCAGATTCCCAGGCAGCATCTGTCCTCCTTGCTCCACCTTTGTTTTGGGAATGTCCCATCCATGGTGGAGGCTGTGGAGGAGCCAGCTCATGCTGTGCCCTGAGTCTCCTGTGCACCTCAGCTCTCTCCCCCAAATTATATTTGCTCCAGAATGGTCTTTGGGAGTCTCTTGCTGTACACAGAGTCCCCTTTGCAAATCAAGGAGCAAATGGGAGCACTTTTGGCTGCTGAGGAGTGTCCATCACTGTGGAGGGAGCAGGGAGGAGCTGGAGCTACACCTCAGGGTGATTCTCATCCCTTTGGGTGCTGTGCAGGGGCCCCTGTCAGCCCTGAGAGGTGGCTCTGGCCAGGGTGCACAATGAGGCCATCACCCCGGGCTGCTCTCTGAGCAGCCTCATTGTGCAAGAGAATTGATGTGACAAGTGACAATCAGTGTTTTCCAAGCCTCCTGTCCCAGGCTGCACGAAGAGCCTTGCTGATGTTTTCTGGAGCCCTTGGAAATGCAGAATGGAGGGGTTAATCCAGCTCTCCTGCAGGGGTGGCCCCAGGGCACTGTCAGCAGGTCCTTGGGGAGGGCTCTGGATGAGCACAGTGGGGCAAACCCAGTATTTGGGTTTGGGGCTGAGCTTGTCTACTCATCCTCTCCAGAGAGGATTAATCCCTCTGCCCTCTGCCCACAGCTTTTCTGGCTTCCACCTCTTGAAATCCTGAGGAGCTTCTTTCAGCCCTTGGTCATCCCTCCCTCCTCTTGCTGAACACTGAAATAAAGAGGAAAAAGCCCATTTTTCCAATCATCTCTGGGTAGAGAACTTCAGCACACAGGGATTAATTCAAATTCCTGGCTCAGATTTTTGAAGCAATTGTTTTTGAGTTTGTTTGAAAAGGGGAGGGGGAGCAGTGGGGCACGAGAGAAGCTTGTGAGTTAATTGTTTCCAAACTCAGTGTTCAATGGAAAACACCAAACATCAGTTTTTGTTTTGTTTTTTTCTCTGCTGCTTTTATGTCCTTCATGGTTTTGTTCTTGTCCTGCTCTCCACATGTTCCACCTCTACATCTTTGGCTTTTTCAGTGTTGTTTGTGTCCTAAACTAAACCCTGCTTTGGCATCTGCTGTCCCGCTGCCTGCAGGAGGTCGGGAATAGGGAGTCAGGGGATGCAAAGGCTCTTCTTTTTTTGGATAATGATTCTTTTTTAGCTTTCCACTGAATTTCCAGGAGATTTGTAAAACTAAATATTTTCTGCTAGGTTGCTTTCCTGTTGAGCCAGCTCAAGACAGGAGATACAGGGTGTTCTAGGCTCCATTTGGGTTTTATTCTATATTTTAAAATATTTGCAACTGTCTGCAACAGGAATGTCCCAAACCTCGTCTCCAAGAGAGACTGGTGGGGTAAAACCCTCAAAACTTGTGCCCTTTCTTGTACCACTACTTGTGGCTGTAATTCTTTATTCCTGTGGTTCTCTTTACAGATTTTGGGATTTTATACAACAATTTGTGATGGCTCTGTACAACCTAAGACTTCTGTGCAATTTATAATTGGGTTTTGAAATGTAAACTCACAATTTTCCATGTTTACCACGGCTTCTGGGGAGTATTTTTGTCCTGGGTTTTAACCCCCCAAATGTAAAGAACTGGAAAAATGTAAATAAAGATGATCTTTTTTAAGACCATGGGTGTTTTGCTGTGTGTATGTGATTATCATAAATGATACCTCAGCTGTCTGGACGCTGAAACCTGATGGTGAGAAGTGGTTCAGGAGGAATCTCCACTGGAGCTGGAGCTTGGAAGTTGGTTTAGAGCCAAGGTTAAAGCAAAGCCACGGCTCCTGCAGCTCAGCAGGGGAATGGCTGGGGTGGGAACACCCTGGTGGGCTGAAGGAGCTGTTGCTTGTTCCAATGGAGAATCACAGAATCATGGAATATCCTGAGCTGGAACGGACCCACAAAGATCATCCTGCCCAGACCCCCCAACATCCCACCCTGAGCATCCCTGGAGCTCTGGCAGCCTCGGGGCCGTGCCCATTCCCTGGGGAGCCTGGGCAGTGCCAGCAGCCTCTGGGGGAAGAACCTTGCCCTGATCTGCAGCCTAAAATCCCCCCCGCCACAGCTCACAGAAACAAGAGAGAAAGGGAAAGATATACAGACTGCAAACAACATCCTTCACCAAAGGCTTTCCAAAACAAGCTTTGAGCAAATGGCAGAGCTTTCTCCTCAGGGGGGATATAAGGCCACAAAAACCTGAAAGAGTTTGTAAGAAACACTCATTTCACAAACAGCATTGCCACAAAAGGTAACAGCAGCAGTGCACTGAAACTGCAGACACTTGGCACAGACCAAAGGCAGCAGCCACAGCCTTTATCTGCAGCAATCATCTCAGAGATTTTAGATCATTTTCCCCTCTACAGCTTCTTCACAAACAAATACCTTAAGTTTTTCACTCTAGTCCTTAACGGGGAAGCTGTCCTGCAACACACCCAAACCTCGGGAACCTCATTTATATTTATATTTATATTTATATTTATATTTATATTTATATTTATATTTATATTTATATTTATATTTATATTTATATTTATATTTATATTTATATTTATATCTATATCTATATCTATATATCTATATCTATATTGATATTTGTATTTATTTACTGCTATTTATATTTTGAATTTTATTTTTACCGTTATTTTAATTTTTATTTTTACTGCATATTATATTATATTATATTATATTATATCAGTTATATTTTTAATTTTATTTTTACTGCTATTTTTATTTTAAATTTTACTGTTGATATTTATTTCTATTTTTCCTGTTATTGTTATTTTCCCTGTTCTCCTGGGCTAAGCCAGCTCTCCCTGAAGCTCCCAAAGCTCCCGAGGCTCCCGAGGTTCTCCCAAAGCTCCCCTGAGGCTCCTGAGGTGCTCCCAAGGTTCCCCTGAGGTTCTCCCAAAGCTCCCCCGAGGCTCCTGAGGTGCTCCCAAGGTTCTCCTGAGGTTCTCCCGAGGTTCCAGAGGTTCCCCCGAGGTTCCCCTGAGGTTCTCCTGGGGCTCTCCTGAGGCTCCCACGAAGCTCCCAAGGTTCCCGAGGTTCCCGAGGTTCCTGGGGTTTCTGGGGTTCCTGAGGTTCTGGAGGTTCCCGAGGTTCTAGAGGTTCTAGAGGTTCTAGAGGTTCCGGAGGTTCTAGAGGTTCTAGAGGTTCTAGAGGTTCCGGAGGTTCTAGAGGTTCTAGAGGTTCCGGAGGTTCTAGAGGTTCTAGAGGTTCTAGAGGTTCTAGAGGTTCTGGATGTTCTAGAGGTTCCTGAGGTTCTGGAGGTTCCCCTGAGGTTCCCCTGGGGTTCCTGAGGTTCTCGTGGTTCTCCTAAGGTTCCCCTGGGGTTCCTGAGGTTCTGGAAGTTCTCCTAAGGTTCCCCTGAGGTTCCCCTGGGGTTCCTGTGGTTCTCCCAAGGTTCTCCTGAGGTTCCCCTGGGGTTCCTGTGGTTCTCCCAAGGTTCCCCTGAGGTTCCCCTGGGGTTCCTGGGGTTCTCCCGAGGTTCAATTCGAAAAGCCAATACAGTTAACATATTTTTAAAATCTAATGTTTTCTTTTATATTCTAGTAAGTGCCAAAACACTTCTATCTACAAAATTGTCACAATGATAGTGGACTTCTGCTCTTCCTGCCTCCAGGAATCCCAGGATGTGGAGCTGCGGCTCCACTCGCCCGGCTCGGGCGGGAGAGGGCGATCTCTGCCCGGCTGGAGCTCGGCTCGCAGCAGCTGCTCCAGGAAAACAGAGATTTCTGGCACAGCCCAGCCCGTCCTGACCCCGCTGCCCCTCGCTCAGGATGGGTTTGGGGTGGACAAGAGCAGCGGCCGGGGGTGATGGGCTGAAAAAGCTCCGTGTGTTCCTGATAATTTTGGCTTCTTTTGGGAGCCTCTACCCTCTCTCATGGCTTGAGGAGGTTTGTCCCAGTGGCCGGTGCGTCCCTGTGTCCACCCGGGAAAGGCAGAGCTGCAGCAGATGCTGGAGAGGAGCCACAAGAGCTCATCCTGATGCGCGTCCGGTCTCACCCACTGGGATTTGGTGATGCTGGGTATCCCCGGTGAGGGATTTGGCGATGCTGAGCATCCCCAGTGCAGGATTTGGAGATGCTGGGCATCCCCAGTGAGGGATTTGGAGATGCTGGGCATTCCCAGTGCGGGATTTGGCGATGCTGGGTATCCCCGGTGAGGGATTTGGCGATGCTGGGTATCCCCAGTGCTGGATTTGGAGATGCTGAGCATCCCCAGTGCGGGATTTGGAGATGCTGAGCATCCCCAGTGCGGGATTTGGCGATGCTGGGCATCCCCGGTGAGGGATTTGGCGATGCTGGGTATCCCCGGTGAGGGATTTGGAGATGCTGGGTATCCCCGGTGAGGGATTTGGCGATGTCCAGGCTGACACCGGCCCTTGCTCGAGCAGAGCTTTCCAGAGATGTGTTTTTGTGCAGGGAGCAGCCGCCCCATCCCGGGGGGATCCCAGGGGAAGGACACGCACCCCGCACCAGGCTCCTCCGAGCCTCAGCTCATCCCCCGGGAGCGATGGGACCCCCGGGGCCCCTGTGTGTCCCCACCGAGGGAGGGGGAGGCAGCGCCGGGGGCTCCGCGGGGACGCTGCCACGGCCCTGCCGGTGCTCCGGGGAATCTCTGGGGGGAGGGTTCGATTAATTCATTAATTACTGAATTAGCTGCTGCTGCCAAACTGAGGGAGAGGCTGCTGGGAAGGGATGCAGAGGGCGGGTTCCCAGGCCCAGGGACTCTTATTTTGACCGCGGCGCTGCCGCCGCTGTCGGGCCGCGCTCCGGGG